AGGTAATACACAGAAGATGTGGTTTGCGAGTGGATTCACCTACCTCTCCAGCCATAGCTTCACCTTTCATCCACTTTTTGAGCCGGGGAGTTTCAGAGCTCCTAGAAGTCTCCTTTGCTGCTTCAGGCATGATATTTCACCTCCCTTTAATGCATCTATGGAACATGCTGTAGAATTACTTTAGTTGCAGTTGGAAATGCCCCAGGAAAGAATTATTCTTTCCTGAAAGCAATATGCATGCAGAATCCCTCTGTCCTGACTGCTGTAGAAGGTGACACGGGGCAGGTTTGGGGACCCTCAGAGCTCTGACAGACACTGTCACCCATGAACAGGGGTCCTGGACAGCTGGCTGCCCTCCACCGGCGGCAGGTTGGCTCACATCTTTCAGGAGCAGAGCCAGGGTAGGGCAGTTTTTCTGCCAAGGCCACATCCTCCAGGGCAGAGCAGGGAGGGCGGTGAGGGGGTGACTGCGCATGAGTGCTGAGACTGGGGAGGCTGGCTCCAGTTATTGGCGTGATCGATGGTTCAAGTGCACTTTGATGGCATCCTCGCTGTTCTGCTCTTCCTCAGCTCTGTTTCCACCACTGATCTGGGCAAGGGGAATGGTGAATTTGAGACCTTCTCTGGCCCGATTCCTCAGCCCTAATGAGCAGAGGAAAGTAGGCGCTTTCAGCAATTTGGCCACTTGTCTGGTTGTGGCTGCCGCAGGCACTGCCTTGGACTCTCACTGGAAACGTGTGTGTGTGTGTGTGAGAGAGAGACCCGGGCATTGGCATCAGAATGATGTGGGGCCCAGAGAAGAGGACTCAATTCCCATACCCCCAGTCTGAGTCTCCAGGTTGGAGGAGGTGGAGTCTTGGGCAGAACCAGGACCAGAGGCTGGCATAGCAGGCCTCTTGGAAGCAAGGCTTGTGGTCCCGCTAAGAATGGGAGCCTTGGGTCCTTGTACCTGAAGATCTCCACGCGGACAGAGCCTCACGCTGGAGAATGTTGCCGAGGGGCCTGGGGGCCTTGGCCATGGGGTCTGTGTCTTGTATCCTGCGGCCCTGAAGTTTACCTACCTTAGTGGTGGCACTTCTGAACTCAGTCTTTACCTACGTCCTCTCTGAAGGAAGACGTGAGGCCTCACAATCTCTGGTGGCCCAACATCAGCTCCACATTGAACCCTGGGCTCCTGTCTCCCAAGGCTGACTCATCCTAGGCAATCTGCTTCCTGTACTGACCCATCTCTTGCCTTCATTCAGGCTACAACTGTGCCTTCACACAGCTTCTGACTGCTCCTCCTCTCTTGGGATCCATTACATACCAACGTCAGGCTCAGATCCCAACCTGGTTCCAGATCAGATTCTGGTCCTAAATATCTCAACCTAAACTCTTAATTTGTTTGTCCTTTCCTTATCACACCTACTGTTGGAGAGAATGAGACTAGCCGGACCCAAAGCTGTTTTAGCCCCGAATAACCTCTCTCCCACCTTGTCCTTAAAATACACATCAAAATACAGAAAATGACCCAAAACAACACAACAAACCTCACAGGAACACGGTCAACAATTGCTAGCCTTGGGAGGGAGTTCCATTATCTTCAGCAAGAAAGAGGCAGATTCGGAAGCACAATTGATGACATTTTCATTGTTAGTGGCTCAGTTGGCCAGAGGTAGGTGAGAAGAGACCTTGGTGACCCACCCAACCCCCACCCTAAGGTCTAAAGAAGTCCTTGAACCAAGTAGAGTATTGAATAGCACCCTTCCACCACCACTCTGACCATTGCAATCTGGAGACAAGGGGAGGGCATGTTACAATATTCCTGAAAGGTATGGTTTTCACCGTACAATGCTGCTGAGGAAGAAAGAGCATTTTGTCTTCTGTGTATTGTACCTGGTGGCAGAAAATTAAGCCCCTCCTGGTATTTACTAGGGCACAAATAAGTTGGAGAACCTGACCATCCTCAGCCCACCAAGTGAGTGCGTGACACCAAGGCACTGACATGTGAACGGGATATGAACTCACTTTGCTTTCCAACTTTAGCTCTCCAGGGGGCATTCCCCAGGGAGCCAGGGGATCAGAGGATGGGCAAAAATGGTGAAATTGTCCTGCTTTTTCTTCTGTCAACAAGATCTTATAAAAGATGAATATACAAAAAAAAAAAAACACCACTAGAGACAAAAAAAGTTCTGAACTGAATACATTGACTACATTTGAAAACACAACTTTTGAAAACAATTAGTTTTAGGAGGAAGTATAAAGAAATTGAAAGATCTATAGCCCATGTTCTTGGTGAGCAATAAGAATATCTGAAATTATTAGAAGAGATTAGGATGATGATAGACAGAGGAGGCTGAGATATGAGCTCAGATAAGGACAACAGTAATATTAGGAACAAGGCTTCAAAAAAAAATACGTGCAGCAGTAGAGCTAAAATCTCTCTCTCAGTGGCAATAAAGGAAAGAAATGAACCAGCAGAAGAATGCTACAATTTAGGGCAAACCTAAATTCCTTCCTTCAGATTCATTGAAAAAGCACAAAGGGATGAAAATAATCAGATGGACCATGTTTGGTTTATTCGTTCATCCAAAGATGGGTGTTTGGGTTTTTTGTTTGTTTGTTTTTAGGGGGAAGTAATCAGGTTTATTTATTTATTTTAATGGAGGCACTGGGGATTGAACCCAGGACCTCATGCATGCTAAGCACACACTCTACCACTTGAGCTATACCTTCTCCCACCAAAATAATCAGAGATGTAATAGTTACAGAGGCTAATAAAAGTAAATTGATTTTTGCATAATATGGCTCTTGTGAGCAAGAAATATAAACAAGTGGAAAGAAGCAATAATCAAAGAATCTTTGAAAAATTTTCTAGCTGGAAAAAATACACTTTATTCATATACTTACTTCCATAATGATATTTAAGAGAAATTTGCTCAAAATCAAACATAATATACTCTATTAATTTAATCAGTGATTTAAAAATCATTCAATCTGAGAGTATGTTACTCAGAAAGGAAAAAACACCAGTCAGGATAATGTTAGATTATCCATTAACAGCAGTAAATTAGAAGACATTGGAGCAACTTCCAGGTTTTCAGAGAAATAATGTTTATTACCCCCAATTTGAATTTTAGATAACAAAAACATTTTTATAAACAAGGGCTCTAAAAGTATGCTAAACCTCATGCTATTATAACTGTGTGAAGAGTCAAACAGAAGAACTCTGGGATGGAGAGGTTAGTTGACAAATGTCTGCATGTTGTCAATTTGGATGAAAAAGTCAGAGACCAGAATGAAGGCTAAAGATACATAGTAAACAAAAACTCTCACTTGATCACACTCACTTGGCTCTTGAATTCCTGATGGATGCATGCCAACTGAGAAGCGTCTCTGAGCTGGCACGATTTAGAAGCCAGGGATGAAGACAGAATTCCTGCTTTTAGGTGGCACATGTTCAAAAATAATGCACTGGAAAACAAAGAAATTGATAAGCCAATTTTCAGACTGTGATGAAGTCACAGAGGAAATCATATAAGGTCATTGGTGGGGAGGAGTGGAGCGAGTGAAAGGTTACTTGATGAGGAATATTCTGGTTCCCTTTTGGATATGCTAATTTGGAAAATCCAACCAGGCAGTTGGATATGAGCCTGGAGCCTGGGGAAGAGGTCTGAGCTATTACTGTCACTTTGAGTGTCATTACCTTGATGATATTTTAAACTGGGATTTGAACAGGGCCTGGGCCTGATCCTTATGCCAATCCAATGTTTAGAGAAGCTAGAGGAGTAGGGTCAGGCAAAGGGGGCTGAGAAGGGACAAGGAGTTTGGGAGTGAAAGTAACAGAATTTTTTCAGTTGGAATTGTATTTGGCTTCTAGGAACAGAGACCAAACATAAAAATGGCTGGAATCAAATGGAAGGGTGTTGTTTCTCTGCTGCCATGTAAAAAGTGAGATGTGTGCCCAGGGACAACATGGTGGCCCCACAGATACTGGGGACACAGACATCTTCTACCTAAGTTTTATCACCCTGAGCCTGCAACTTCATCTTCAAGTCTGTAACAGCTGCTGGAACTCCAGCCATCACACTTGTATCCTCACACCTAGAAAGAGGAAAGACAGGAGAGCAAGAAAGACTCTCGCCGCTTGTCAGTCTCCCTTCTAACCTGCTTTCCGGGAAGTTCTACTTACAAATCCCACTTATATCTCCTTGACCACCTTTGTCTCAAGGGAGGCATTCAGTTTTTCTGAACACAGTTCAAAATATAAATACAGTTTTTCTGACTCTTAATATCTTTGTCTGCAAAAAGAGGGAATTCTCCATCCATTAGTGTTTCATTATTCAAGGGTGCATTCATTTATTCATGAACTATATCAAGCATCAGGGCTTGGTGATGGGGCCTGGGGCCTGGTGATGCGGGTGGTGTCCTGGGCCCTGATCACTGCTGAGCACTGACCGAATGATAGGCTGGGTGTAAAATGTTCCATGTGTGGTACTTCATCTAATGCTCACCACAACCCCGGCAGCTGCTTTTGTCCCCATTTGCTGTGTGAAGACAGCAGGCCCGCAGGGGGTGAGCCTGGTGGTGATACACCACTCCACGTGGTGGCAGGCAGTGTGCACCACAGTGCCATCCCCACCTGCAGCGCCTGCGCAGTGAGCCTGCCTCCTCCTGCAGTTACCCTGCAGACTTGCTGACGACAGGGACAGCTCCTTGCAGGGTTCAGGAAGCGTCAGAACAATGAATGTCTGCAGGCTGGAGGTCTGGGCACACCCCCAGAGATTTCCCCCGGGGGTTCTGGAATGTTTAGTGTGGTTGACCTTGCCAGCGATTTATGAAATACCTTAAAAATAGTTTTTACCTAGCGATAAAATATGGCCCTGATTCTTGTGCATACAATGACCATTGTACTTGATGATGACTTCAGCTACAGTTGGTTGAAATCAGCATTATATTCACCCAGAATACCTAATAAAATAGTTTCCCCAGCAAGCACCTAGTTTCAGAGAAGAATTTCCTCTGGCGGTACAAGAATACCATTCATGTCTTACCCTTAAGAGGTGATGGATAAAATTATCCTGATTATGAAGAAATTATTTGTCCGGGAAAGAAAGCCTGCTGACTCTATTGTGTAGGTATCCACCTTTTTCTGAGTCTGACCTCACTCAGCTCTGGCAGCGAGGATCACTGCTCCACCTGCTCTGGTATGTGACCCCTACTGCCCCCACCCCAGATCAGGCTGAATCCAGTTCTGGCCTTGACTTGAATCTTCCTAACTCTATCCCTCAACATACAGAAGGCACCAGATTTATGGGGTTTGAATTTCTGTTGCTCATTAATCAGCATTTCCTTTTAAGTCCCAACTGTCCTCAATTTTACATTATCAGCAGACAGAAAGGTGGCAGCCTCTAATGCCAGCTCCATTTTGCATGTGGGGCCGGGCGAGTCAGATGAGTCTCCCGTCAGATGGGCACTCTGAGAGCCACTCTGTGGAGATATTGCCTTGCTGTCTGCACAGACTCAGTTTCAAGACTGGGAAAGAGAAACTGTTTGTGGTGTGGGAGCCCATGCCAGGCTGATACTCAAAGGCAAAGCTAAGTCAGGGGCTGCCTTGCTTCCACGGGCTTATTAGAAAGTGTGGGCAATGGAGCCAGACAGGACTGGACTCCAGATCCTAACTCTGCAAATCACTGTCCTGTGACATTGGGCAGGTCACTGACCTCTCCAAGTGTGTCTTCCTTTCTAACTGTTTAAAAATAGACTTTCTCTGTTAGAGTAGTTTTAGGTTCACAGCAAAACTGAGAAGGAGATGCAGAGATTTTCCTTATCCGTCTCTGTTAGTGGATGGAGGAAACCCCTAAATTAGGAAGCTCACCAAAGTGTTCATCCTTGCTGCTGGCTGTGAAATAACTTGGGCAGCAGGGTCAGGGGGACGAAGTGGACAGCCACTTTATTGCTCAGGAGGGGAAGCAGAAGGAAAGCGCTTGGGCAGGGAGAACGGAAGAGAAGCACTTGAGCCGGGAAAAGCAGTGCTCCGGGGGGAGCCGTCAGCCAAGGTGATGGCGGAGTTAACGACAAGCGGAGTCATGAAGTCACTGCAGACAGCCTTTAAGGTTTCATTTACTGGGAAGTGAAGGGGAGAGAGCTTGAAGTAACATGACTTTCCAAAGGAAAAGTACCAAAAATAACCATGTTACTCGGAATGAGAATGCCTCTCAGGAACTGAAAAGTTTGTGCTTTCAAGGGTTACAAGAGCTTGGCAAGAAGGGGGACAGTCCAGGTGTAGATTTAATTCAAGGACCTAAAAGAGGGGACAGGAGATCATTCACTCCTGGGGCACCGTGTACCACTGTGACCCTCAGCGATCTGAAGCATGAGAATTGTCAGCTATAATCAAGGAAGAAGTGACAGTTAAAGGAAACTTCACTGCATGGAAAAGGGTTGCGAGGAGCCCCAAAGCTTAGGGCTGGGTGGCCTTAAAGTGGCTTGGACCCTTGCCCCCTGTACACAGGTGAGGAATGCAGCATAGAGGGGAAGGGGGAGGCCCGTACTTTCTAGTTAGATCAGCATGAATGTGTTCCAGTCCTGGCTCTGCTGTGTGGCTTTGAGGAAGTTGTTTAACCTGTCTGATCCTCAGCTGAGAAACAGCATTATAATACCTACCATGTCGGGTTGTGGTGGGGGTCAGACGCAGTATTTATGAGGTGTTTTGAGGAGTGTGCAGTCATGGTGGATAGTTGTTTTGATAGCAGGCTATCTGGAAACAGAATCAGCCTGGGCATTACTCATGGTAGGGAACCATCATCCGAGGCAACCCATGTCCATTGCTTCAAATGTGTCCTTGGACTAAGATGAAGTCCATCTCCCGGCTGCTAAGTGGGAATCAGTTCTCCTGTACACATAGAACATGGGGATGAGAGCATGTCTAACTCCAGTTGTGTGAAATATTTTGAGATATTTGACAGTGATGACAGGTTCTTTCTCAACCCACATCATGCCTTCTCCTGGCTAACGTGTCTTCGGGGCTTCCAAGCATCCCCTGTGTGAGAGGAGATGGTTATATCACTTATCAAGCCTGATATCAAGTAATGGAATTCGACAAATGAAAGCATAGTTACTTGTTCAAAGCCATAAGACAACAATAGCAGTCTTGATATTATGGTGTATTTCCAGCAGTATTTTTCCAATATGTATTACCTTACTTGATTCTTATTAGAGCCTTGTGAATTAAGCATGGGGTTTATTGTCATCCTACTTGAAGAAATTAAGAAAGCAATGTTCCCAGCAGTGATTTCACTTGCCTGGGAAGTAAGGTTTGGGACTGGCACAGGGTCTTTCTCCTGAGTCCCTGTCCAGTGCTCGGGCTCAATCCGCTCACTTGTCACAGGGCACTGGGTCATCATCCTGCACTGCGACAGTCAGTGGTCCATGACCAGCGCCTTTGTAGGACTGGAGAGACACAGCAAATACGGCAGAAGCTTCTTAAGACCATTTTCGAAGCTAAAAATCCACATGTTCAAGTTAACAGGGAAGCATGAGAATGCCCAGTGTACACAGAAGGCCTGATGGGTCCACTTGGGGAAATGGTTGTCATCAAGTAGGGTCAAGCCAGATGGGGCTGGATCTTGAACGTAGCTTATGAGTTGAGACATGTGGTGGTGATACGCTGGAGGACGGCATGGAAGGGATGGAGCGTGTGGGAGGAATTGGGATAAAAACTGAGTTGTCTTCCAGCAAGCGAAGAGTGGACCAAAGGCAGGATGATGAAAAACACAAAGGTCATGTACCCACGCCGCCCCCTTCTAAAGTATTTTGGAAACGGGCCCCTATTAAGCAACCCAAGAACAAACAGACATATAAACAGCATCGCAGGAGGACACACAACAGTGTCTGAGCTCTCGCCAAAAGCAGTCCACTAACTAAACATGTTGGGGGGAAATGTACAATTCTCTCCAATCTACTAAAGATTTAAAGCACAGGCAGATCCAAGGTCAATAAACTAATGCCATCAGGGTGGGAGAAGGCGAGGGAAACGGAGGGAAGAAGTGAAAGTGGAAGCATGATTTAGTAATTCTGGAAAGAACAATGCTGCACATGACAGAGAAGTTATTCCAGCGGGTGGTGAAAAGAAAACAAAAATCTTAAAATCAGAGAGGGAGGCTGGTAGGGGAAAATGAGAAAAGAAATGAAAGTGGAAGAATGATTTAACGAGTTGTGGGAAGAAAGCATGGAACTGAATTGAGGGGCTGATGGCATGCATTTTGGAAGGAAAACAGAAACTTAAAAGAAGCTGAGCATGTCTGAGATGGTTACTGATCCATCAGTTTTGAATTAAAATTGTATATGGAAAATTAAGTTATGTTCAGCCATTGCTGACAGGACATGTAACATCTCTGTTGAGAGCATTTGCTGCTCCTTGGGTTTACATGGATAATACAAGAATTTAAAGTAAGTTGCCATTTACCCCCCTAGCCTGAAAGTGATTAGGAAGAACTTTTCTTTGGTGGCTCCAAGTTGTAGCTGAGAGAGAGAGGAGAAAAGAAGGAAGAAAATAGGAGCATGCTTTCTATGGGGCAGGAAAAAATCTCAACCATTGAATTGGTTTTTTAGGTGCTGAGCTCCATGGGGGGAGGTGGAGTGGAGGTAGAGGTGACAACTGACTGAGGAGGCAAAAAAAGTGGGGTCCTGAGGTCTGAGCATGATGAATCTCAGCCCTGGTTGAATGGTGACCACATGATTCTTACTTGGCATGGGTAGTTACTGGCTCTTGAGACCTACACTGGAGACAATGCATACAGGGATGTGAATATCAGACCAGGCTTTTGAACATAATGCTAAGAGGTAGAGGCATTTTTAACCAAGAGAAGTCTCAGTTAGGGTTGCCTTTAAGAAGGACCACTGTATGATCAAGGTTCTCCAGAGAAGCAGGACCAATAGAACACAGATATAAGGAGATTTGTTGTAGGGATTGGCTCATGTGGTTACAGAAGCCAAGAAATGCCACCATCTGCTGTCTGCAAGCTGGGGAACCAGGAATTCAGCCCAGGGAGGAGGCCTGAAAACTGGGGAGGAGCTGCTGATGTGAGTCCCAACCTGAGTCTGAGAACCTGAGAACCAGGAGAACTGAAGTCTGAGGGCAGAAGATGGTTTGTGAGGTTGGACCTCAGTAAGGACTATGTGGTAGTCTCTTCCCTTACCCCCACATCACCTCCCTCCTTGTCCAGGGGGTCCCTTTCTCAGTTTACCAAATGCAGTGCACCTTACACTCATCCCAGATCTTTCTCTGATGAACTGCCCAGTGTGTAAGTATTTCAAATATTTCAGTTAAGAACTGAACATTGAGAAAGAGAACGGTTCAAATGAATGAACAATGCATGCTTTTTGCATGCCACATGGCTTTTAGTTCTTTGTTTTCAACAAAACTGAAGAAAAATTTAATTGATTTGTCCATTGATAGATCATTGAAAATAACCTTTGATGACAGATTACTCTTTGATTTTTGGCAAATAACTAGGAAGGAGTTCAAAGAACTGAGAGACACCTCTGTAACAAAACTTATTTAAGAGAATTCTACTTATTTAAGAGAATAGTTTTTCAAACCTTAGATTTATGAAAACTGAAAAGTAAGTAATGTTCATTTTTGTATGCATGAACTAATTTATACACATATTCCATCCATCTCACTAAGCAATAAATTAACCATAAAATTTTACTTTTTATGCTTTAATTCTTAAAATTTATAATATACTTATGTTATTTTCATCAATTACATGCTATTAATAATTATAATAAGTCACCTAAAAGTAAACATTCTTAGCACCTATTAGAGCCTTATAATTACAGGAAATATTTTAAAAAATCTATATTTCATTTTTAGATACATATAAATGGGAGTGTGATAAAGTAATCAATAATAGGCTTTCAGCCATGAAAATACATTAGGATAAAATCAATGGTGGAAATGGGAAATGGAAATATAATTCTAGGAGAAAAATAAACATGTTAATTTCCAGATATTAAAGGGCTAGGTCTAGATATATTTAAAAATAGGTAATGGCATCAAATAACAATGTATTTGAATTTCATCAGATACATTTAAAAGAAGTGCAATTTTTTTTTGTTTTAAATTGTCAATATTTATAACATGGAAATAACATCATTTGCAATTATAAAAATATAAGATAAAATAATTCAAGTGTCATAT